GACAGCTTCGGCAAGCCAGTCCTAGAACGCCCAGGTCCGTCAGACATCGAACTGAGCCCAAGAGTCGCGAACACGCAAACATGGACTAGGAGGAGGAGGACGAGGAGGAGGAGGAGGAGGAAAAGGAGGATAAGGAAGGGGAGGAGGAGGAGGAGGAGGAGGAGGAGGAGGAGGAGAAGGAGGAGGACGAGGAGTAGGAGGAGGAGGAGGCGGATGAGGAGGCGGAGGAGGAGGAGGAGGAGGAGTAAGGAGGAGGAAGGGGAGGAGGAGGAGGAGGAGGAGGAGGAGGGAGGAGGAGGAGGAGCAGGAGGGGGAGGAGGAGGAGGAGGAGGAGGAACTGGAGGAGGGCCAAAGCCTCCGACTCTCCACTGCGGATCTGGCGCGCGGGCGCCAAATACACGGTGCGGGGAATGTCCCCCCCACCCCCAGGTCACGAAGCAGAGGCCGCCCGATTCGGCGATGGAGAGCGCCGAACTTTGTGAGGACACAGGACCTGTCGCTGGTCCGCCCGCCCTAACCCCTGCCCTTCCTCGACAGAGGCGTGCGCCGTCGTCAGGCGTGCGTCGCCCCCAGACCCCTCACGCTGTGACTTTCCACAACGTGGACCCCTGGAGGTCTCGATCCATGCCCCTGGATCCGATCTTCATCCTGAGCCGTGTTTTGGCGCCCCCGGGGCCCAGTGGAGGGCACCGGGTGACGAGAACTATCTGAGTTCGGTCACAAAGAGAGGAGGTCAAAGTGCGCCGTCATGCTTGGGAAACCAACAGGTACCAATACCGCTACTCCCCGGAGCTCCCCCGTGGTGCGTTCTGACCAGAACTTCGAGGCGAGTCGAGCGGTGGCGGCGAGGGCCTCCCAGGAGGCCCGAACAGGGGAAAGCGAGGGCAGGGTTGCGGTGTGGGTACCTTCTCTTCCTCTGACTCCCAGGGAAGCGAGGGAAGCGAGGGAAAGCAAGGAAAGCGAGGAAAGCGAGGAAAGAGGAAAGCGAGGAAAGCGAGGGAGGAGAGGAAAGCCTCCCAGGAGGCCCGAAAAGAGGAAAGCGAGGAAAGCGAGGGAAGGGTTGCGGTGTGGGTACCTCTTTCCTGCTCCGAGTCCTCAGGCTCGCCGCGCCGACCCCCCCCACGTGATGGTTCGCTTCCTCGACCATTCTGTCGAAGCGGCTCCGCAGCCTGAGTGCAGCCCACAGTGGGCCGATGGGCGCAGCAGTGCCGCCGTCTTAAAGCTCTCGCCGAGCTCTAACTGATGGAATGGAGGGGGAGGAGGAGCATCATGAGGAGGCGGAGGAAGGTGGAGGAGGAGGAGGAGGGAGGAGGACGAGGAGGAGGAGAATAAGGAAGGGGAGGAGGAGGAGGAGGAGGAGGAGGGGAGGAGGAGGAGGAGAGGAGGAGGAGCAGGAGGAGGAGGGAGGAGGAGGAGGAGAAGGAGGAGGAGGAGGAGGAAGGAAGGGGGAGGGGGAGGAGGAGGAGGAGGAGGAGGAGGAGGAGGAGGAGGAAGTGGAGAAGGGCCAAGGCCTCCGACCCTCCAAGGGGGGGCGGAGAGAGAACACCAGAATGGCAGGGGGAAAGCGCCCGCTCACGACCCCCCTCCCCCCCTCCCCCTCCCCCTCCCCTCTCCTCCTCACTCCTCCTCCTCCTCCTCCTCCCTCCTTCCTCCCCTCCTCCTCCTCCTGCCTCCTCCTTCCTCCTCCTCTCCCTCCTCCTCCTCCTTCCCTCCTCCCCTCCTCCTCCTCCTCTCCCTCCTCCTCCTCCTCCTCCTCCTCCCGCCTCCGCCTCTGCCTCCTCCGCCTCCTCCGCCTCCTCCTCCTCCTCCTCCTCGCCTCCTCCTCCTCCTCCTCCCCTCCCCCTCCTCCTCCTCCTCCTCCTCCTCCTCTCCTCCTCTCCTCCTCCCTCCTCCTCCTCCTCCTCTCCTCCTCCTCCTCCTCCTCCTCCTCCCTCCTCCTCACGCCCCCCCCCCTCCCCTCGCGGCCTTCGCGCAGGCGTGGACGGCCGGGGGGATGCAGGCGCCCGGCGGCGCGAGCCGCGGCAGCGCCGTCGGGGCCCTCCCTCTGCGGGAGCTCGCGGGCCTGCCTTTTTCACTACAGGGCAGTTTTTAATACATAGGATTTGTTTAGATAGGATTTGTAATACATGAGTAAGTTAGGAATAAATGTATGCATAAACTCATGTCTGTTTTTATACTCTAAGTCCCTGCATTTGAAGTACATGATCCGCGCGCGGAGCATGTAGTAAGAACGGCACTCTACAGCAGGGGCCCGAGCACAGGAAACCCTCCACAAGAGACCCAACCCTGAGGCCCCAAGGCGTCCAGTGATTTCTGGTCTAGGACACGTCAGGACCCCCTGAAACCAAAGACACCCGAGGCACCCTGGACTCGCCATCGCTCGGACGTCCATTTTGTGTGTATTTTTTTGCGGTTTTGTGCGTCGTGTTGCTTCGCCAAATGATCAATGATGCTCCTCGATGGTCCTCACCGAAAGAGAAATGCACATGTCCGAGCGATGCCAGGTGGAGGCAAGCAGGGTGCTTCTTGGCAGGGGCCTCCACTCCATGGCCGCGGGGCGGCCAACCGAGCGCCCAAGAGCGTCCAAGAAGGCGACGCTGGGGAATCCAGTGGGGGGCCTTGCTTGAAGGGGCCCTGGGACACACAAATAAATACACACAAATAAAAGGATTCCTCATATTTTCCAATAGTTTCTGTGTTTTTGTCTTCCCCGCCACTTCCCATATTTTCCCATATCCTCTGGGGAATCGACGATGAATTGTGTCTGTGTGCTCTTCCCCTCCCGATTGTCAGGGTGCCTCCGGGCGTCCATGGATTGTTGGTGTGGGCACGTCGCGCCTGCCACAGCAAAAGCGTCGAAACCCAAGAAACCCAGGGCACCCAGGAGGCGAGCAGTGCAGGGTGCGTCTTGGCACGGGCCTCGAACTCCCCATAGAGACCTCAATTGAGCAGGGACCGACCGTCCCGGCGTTCCGTCGGCCGACCAAGAGGGGGGTGTGCAAGAGGGGGGGGGCGCAAATCATGGCCGGCGGCATGTGCGCGGCCCCGGGGGGGGGGGGCCAGGGGGCGTAATGAAATAAGAAGAGGCGCCCTGACCCCCCCCCCTAGTCATCACCCCCCTCGCTGCCGCCCCCGAGAAAGGAACAGGAACTGCTGTCGGTCTCTGCACCCACTCTTCTCGTACCCACTTCGATCTGGAGCAGGGACCGATCGTCCCAGCATTCCTGTAGTCATACCACGAACTGTTCTCAGAACCTACAAATGTTCTAAGAACAAAAACAATGTTCTTAGAACATGAGCCCGATGTGTTAAAACAAGACGGTCCCAGGCAGAAGCGTTCTGAGAACATTTCGCGGGAACCAGAAAAGGTGCTTAGAACATTGTTTGGTAGGGCTAGGCGAGCCAGGACGCTTGGCCACTGCTTGACTCACCGCGCAGCCCATCACCGCCAGCCTCAGGGCCCCAGGCAAAGGAAAGAGAACTATGCACATGCACCAATTCTGGCCGGGCCCATCCTGAGCCCGGGGCCTGTTCCCCTAGAGGGGGGTTTTGGCCGAGAAAGGAAACATCTCCAGACATGTACAACAAATACTCAAACATGGTTAAACAAAATAGTCCCCAGGCTATTTTCTAACTACTCTTGAATATTCCCCCTGTAGAGGGACAGGCCCGACTTAACCCTAGAGACCTCACCGCGCGGCCCATCACCGCCAGCCTTGGGGCCCTAGAAGCCCCGGTCACCCGGGACGTCCTCGGAGTGCGATCCGAGTCCCTAAACCGTGCGGCGACCCAAATCCCCCAGTGCCTCACCACGCGGTGTTAGAGGTCTTCTAGATGAAGCCCGAGGGGATGAGGTCGGAGGATCGCACTGCATCGCCGATACATCGACTATGTATTGCCGATGCGTCGGCGATGCTCCGGCGATGTCGGCGATGCATCGGCGCCGTCGGCGTGGCGAAAATCGAGCTCCACATCGGGCCGCATTGGCGATGCATCGGCGATGCATCGGCAATGCGGGGCGATCCTTCGACCCCATATACTCCGATCCAACTCCACCTGTTTGCGGCGAACGGGGGGGAAGTGAGAAGAAGAAGGCCTTCTCAGATGGCCCAGACGTCCCCTGGCCTTCTGAGAAACTGTCTCGGCGTTCCCCGAAGCTTGTAAGCAACAGCAGGCGCGAGGGCTTCTAAGAAGTCCCGCCGCCCTCTGAGAAGGCCTCCTCCTCCTCCTTCTCTCCCCTCGCTCGCCGCCAAACCTGGGAGGCCTGGACCCTTTTGTGAAGGGGCCCTGGGACACACAAATAAATACACACAAATAAAGATAGTCCCCATATTTTCCCATATTTTCTGGGTTCTTGTCTTCCCCCCCCACTTCCCATATTTTCCCATATTTTCTGGGGAGTCGCCGATTAATTGTGTCTGTGTGTTTCTTCCCCTCCTGAGAGAAGGCCTCCTCCTCCTCCTTCTCTCCCCTCGCTCGCCGCCAAACCTGGGAGGCCTGGACCCTTTTGGGGGCCCCAGCATCTGCTCCAGGGGGTGCCCAGCGAGGGGGGGGGGGGTGCCTCGGCGCCGCGTGCGCGACCAAGAGGGGGGGGGGCCAGGGGCGCCAGGAAACGAGCAGAGGCGCCACGAAATCTGGGGAGATCTCCTCCTCCTCCTCCTCCTCCTCCTCCTCCTCCTCCTCCTCCTCCTCCTCCTCCTCCTCGTGGCCCCCGCCACAATAGCCACACCCCCCTGGTCATCACCCCCCTCTTGGCCGCCCCCGACATCTGCCGGGAGCGGCCACAAGAGGGGGGTGTCCAAGAGGGGGGGGTGCAAAAATCGTGGCCGGCGGCGTGTGCGCGGCCCCGCGGGGGGGCCAGGGACGCAATGAGATAAGCAGAGGGGCCATGCAATCCGAGGAAATGATCATGGCCCCCGCCATGACAGTCACCCCCCCTCGCCATCACCCCCCTCTTGGCCGCCCCCGACGTCTGCGCGCCGCCGGCCAGCGCCTGCCACCCCCCAGGGATGACGGCGTTGAAGCTGAACTTGTTGGGCACGGC